GCTATATATCCCTTAATATTTATCAGACCAACCTGATAAATATTAAGACCTATTTTTTAAATAAAGTTAGAAGGTAACTTCTGCAGGTAAAGTTACTTACCTTCCTTGAGTCCCTGTTTCTTCATCTTTAAAGTCTAGAATGTAGCACTTATCTATCCTTGATTGTCAGTAATACTGTAGGAATATATTTAGCGTTTTAAACTTTTTAGTAATAGAATTTATTATTATAAATATATAATAATATAACTTATTAATAATAATAATATAATTTATTAAGCATCTACCGTGTGCTCAGTCCTAGGCTACCATGTCCAGCGCTTTCCATGCATAATCTGCTTATCCTCACAGAACACTTTCAGGTCCTGCTGTTACCTCACTTTATATGCTGTCTGTTCACTTCACAAATACGGACCCACTACCCATCACATGCCAGGCACTGTTTTTGATGCTGAAAATACAGCAGTTGGAAGACAAAGAAGGTCCCTATTTTCACGTGGCTGCCATGCTCCATTCTACATATAAATATGAACATATCTGATAAAATAAGTATGGTGAAGAAAACATATAGTCAGAGATGTGATAGTGCCTGAGGGCTCCTTTAGACAGATGTCTGAGATGACCTTTCTAAGGAGGTGGTGATTAAGCTAAGACCCGACTGACAAGAAGAAAAGTCACTGCGGGATCTGAAAGAAGAACATTCCAAAAGCTGTAAAGTCAGAACGGGCACAGCATATTTGCAGAGTGGGGAGGCAGCTGATGTGTCCGGAAGTCGGTGTGAAGGGAGAAGTGATGAAAGATGTGGTCTGAGGGGAAGCTAGAGGCCGGATTATGTGGGACCCTGTAGGCCAAGATTTGAATCCACATTTCATTCCAAATGAAAAGGAAAGACTTTGGAGGATGCCGAGCAAAGCAGTGATAAATCATTCTTGTTTTTTTAAAAAATCCCTTCCGCTGTTGAGAGGAGGACGTGTTACAGGGTACAATTACTTGCTGACCTAAGTGGAGACAAAAAGACCAGCAAGGAGACCGTTGTTGTAGAGTCCAGGCAAGAGAGGAGTGGGGTCTGGAGAAGGGTGGCAGAGGTGGGGTAAAGCGGCCAGGTCCGGGATGGGGCTTGGAGGTAAAACTTGGCAGGGCCTGCCGAACACGATGGGGTGTGGGGTGGCCACGCGAGGCAGCTGGGACAGAGAGGTTTCAAGTGGGGCTCCTAGGACTTTGGCTGGAGCACCCAGCTGGTGGATGGGGGACTGGGAACGGTGCAACAGCTCACTAAGGGAGGGAGGACCAGGGAGGTACAGATTTGTCCTGATAAAACCAAAGGGTAAGAGAAAACAGAAAGATTAAGTAACTTGTCCAACGTCACATCACTAATATGTGCCAGAACCGGGATTCAAATCTAGCCAGTCAGACTCTAGAGCTCATTTTTCAACTGCAGCATGTAAGGGGGGCCTGGGTGGCTCAGTGGGTTAAGCGACCGGCTCTTGATTTTGGCTCAGGTCCTGATCTCAGGGTCCTGGGATCAAGCCCAGGCTCTGTGCTCAGCAGGGAGTCTGCTTGGGATTCTCTCTCTCTCTCTCCCTCTGCCCCTCCCACTTGTGTTCTCTCTCTCTCAAAGAAATCTTTTAAAAATAAACTGCAGCAAAGACAGCTACACCTGACAGCCCCTCTTTGAAGAAAGCAGATTGTCCACTGTGCCATAGTAGTTCACTGACCTGCTCGACGTGGCCCTTCCGCATCTCCAGCACGGCCAGGTTGTTGTAGGCCTCGGCGTGGTGGTTGTTGTTGACCAGAGTGAGCCTGAAGCACTGATGGGCCAAGTTGATATCCCCTATGCCCTTGAACAGAGAAGCATGTATTCACACACACAGATCCATACACTTCCGCCCGCCATCTCCTCCCTTCTTTCCTCGAGTATGTCTTTTCTGCTACCAAGCAACAAGTACTGATCATAATCAAGTGTGAATTGTATATATGAGGAGTTAGCCTGAGACAATACATTCTAGGGTGACTCTCAGAAATCGCTCAATCGCTACAGAAGACCATAACTAACCAAACCTGGATTTACGATACCCAAACATTCCTTCAAACTTGCGGCTACCTTTTCTATACCAGAAATTGCATGAGAGAAACAACCTACCACAGCTACGTGGCCCAGGTTGTACCAGACATCGGCTGCCTCTTCTTCATTTTCAGCCAGAGCAAGGGCACGTTCGAACGAGGTCAGAGTCATATCATACTGCTGGGCATAGAAGCAGCAGAGCCCCAGATTGTTAAAGAGCTGACAGTTATAAACACCCATCTGCAGGAGTCGCCTTTTTGAAAAGGAGAACACATATTTTGGTGTCAGACCAACCTGATAAATATTAAGACCTATTTTTTTATAAAGTTAGAAATGTTTTATAATTTTTAACATCCCCAAAGAATAGAAGGTATTACAGGAAATGGAAAAAAATGTCAAAGCAAACACAAAAGCATGTCTTTTTTAAGGGTACTGGTCATGGGTAATGTGTCCAGAGGCAAGGTCAGAATCAACTTGCGTAAGTTCTTTTCCCCAAAAAAATTCTGCTAGAGAAAACCAAGCTACAAAAGTGTCACATAAAGTAAAACCCACAACATTTTGCTTCATAAAGGTTTGGTGTCAAGCAGTAAACCCCCGAGACCTTCTAATCTAATTTGAGGGCTGTGTTTAGGATTTACCTTCAAGTTCTCAGCTAAATTAAATCTTGGTTTTGGTTATCTGTAGTATTTTGTGGTTTAGCTGTGTCTACTGACCTTCCAGTGAGCTTCCACCAAGGAAGACAAGACCATCAGTGTGATCCCTACCTTATCCACTCAGCTCTCATGCTAGAGCTCAAAAAACCCATTTGTTTCTATGCATCATTAATCCCAAAGGATAAGACCATTCACATAAGCAAATGAAAATCCACTTCAGCAGCCCTGAGGAACCCATGACCCATTTTCAGGGTGGGAGAGCAGAGGCAACTGCCTGTGCCTAAAACAACACTCATTTTATCATATTTTATGCTGCCGACATATATTTGGAAAGAACTCTCATCAGCAGCCAGTTATCTCCTTGTATATTACCTAAGGGCAGAAGAGGAAATCAAAATTTAAAAATTAATCTCAGAAGCCATCTGTAAGATGAAATAAGAATGTGCTCAAAAGAGAACCAGAGACCAGAACTTATTTAGGCTTTGAAAACTTATTTGGACAAGAGTTGACAATACTTCACAGAACAGGGGAACCTGTTTCAGGTCCTCAACAGGGCTTGGAACCTGGGACCCACTGCTCTTTGCAAATCTCGTCACTGTTTCAGCTTCGGGGTCTTTATAGGCCATGTGGTGGTTTTAAGAGAAGCAGTGATGGGAAGAAATGTTTCCAGGAACTATTAAACAGTTACTCATTGACAAGAAAATGGCTAATTCATACAATGACGGGCATTAAAAACTCAATTATCCAGGTATGTTTCTGCAAGATGCCAAATATCTGCACATTTTCAAATTCTTAGATGTCACTTGAATGCTCATAAAACCTCTGGGTGCTTGAATGTTTAGTCTCCTATAGACATGGCCTATATATTATGTGTCTACATTTTCACACCATCATTATTGCTGCTGCACCAATATTTCACAGGAAAGTTCTATGCAGAGAGTGTAAAGCACACCTGTAAAACCGAAGAGCTATTTCTGGCTGATCAGAATAAAAGTGGTTGCTTCCGATGCACGCAATGGCTTCCACATGAGTATTGTCCTGTTTCAAAACTTCTCTGTAGTATTCCGCTGCTGATGAAATATTGTTCATTTCCTATTCTCCAGTAAGACAGAAAAAGCAGTACTTCAGTGCCAGGAAATTATTTTTCTTCTGGCTGATTTATGTTCATTCATTCAACAAATATTGAGAGCCTACCATGTGCCAGACTGTGTTCTAGGCCCTGAGGACACAATACGAACAAAAAGACAAAGCTGCTATCCTCAAGGAGGGTACAGCTGGTAAGGAAGACAAGCGAATGAACAAATAGGTAATATAATGTCAGGCAAATATAACATATGAAGAAAGGCAAGGAGAGGGGCGCCTTCCACTTAGTCGGTTAAGCGTCTGCCTTCCACCCAGGTCATGATCCCAGAGTCCTGGGATCGAGCCCCCGCTGAGCTGGAAGCCTGCTTCTCCCTCTGCCCCTCCTCCTGCTTGTTCTCGTGCGTGCTCTCTCTCTCTCTCTCTCCCCCCACCTCAAAAAAAAATAAAATCTTAAAAAAAAAGAGGGAGAGAGAGAGACCAGAGAGATGCTCTCTCTCTCTACCATATGAGGGTATAGATAGAAGGTGTCTGTCTACAGACCAGGAAAAGGGCCCTCACTCAGAAATGAATTGTCCACCACCTTGATCTTAGACTTCCCAGCCTTCAGAATTATGGAAATAAATTTTATGTCCTTTAAGCCTCCCAGTTTATGGTATTTTGTTACAGCAGCCTGAGAAGACTAAGATATTGTCCTTCCAAAGAATAATCTCCACACCTAGGCAGCAACCTGACCACTGAACATAATGGCCCTGAGCCGCCTGGGTCCCCATGAACATGACTTTTCTGGTTTCCAGGGCAACAACATCCTATAGTGCAAGGCTTCAGTATTACTGTTGTCCAAGTTGGTGTCTTAGTCTGCTCGGGTTCCTATACCAAAATACCACAGACTGTGGCTTAAACAACAGAACTTTATTTTCCCACAGTTTTGGAGGCTGTAAGTCCAAGGTCAAGTGCCAGCATGGCGGGGATCTTGTGAGGACTCTCTTACAGGCTTACAAAGGGTCACCTTCTCACTGTGTCCTCAAAAGGCAGAGGGAGCACCAGCACACTCTGGTGTCTCTTCTATTAAGGGCATTAATCCCACCATGAGGGCCCCACCCTCATGACCACATCTAAACGTAATTATCTCGAAATGCCTCATCTCTAAATACCATCACACTGGGGGTTAGGGCTTCAACATATTAATTTGGGAGGAACACGATTCAGCCCAATGCAAAAAGACTCCAGCCTGAATGGATAATTGTTTCAAGGCTTTCAGTTCTATAAAATTACCTTGGAATGTTTGTATACTTGATTGATGGGCACATAATTATGTAATCTTGAGGAATTTTAGACTGAAACTAATTTGTGTTTTTGGCAACCCCATATGTAGTTTTCTAAACGTGTTATTGTAAAATATGTGCTTATGCTAAATAAATTTAAACACTGAAAAAGGTTATAAAATGAAAAGTAATAGTCCCCTCTCCAAATCCAGTCAGAAGTTCTGGAATAGTTTGAGTATTTTTCAAGAAACTTTGTTCATATATGTGTAGACATACATGTATGCAAGTTTTTACCATAACATAATCATTCTACACATTCTGATACACGGTTCATTGTTTTTACTCTCAGTGTCTTGACTCTTTCCATATCAGCACAAAGGGTTCTACCCCATTACTTTTTTATTTCTGCATAGTTTTCTATCAATACATAGACCATAGTTTATTTAACCAGCCCCCTTTTGATGAAGCATTCATTTTTTTTTTGCTATAAAAAAATACTATAAAATCATCCTTGTTCATATTTTCTGAACTTGTATGAAAGCATCCTTAAGGAAAATTCCTACAAATGAAATTGCTGGGCCAAACAGTATGCACGCTTGGAAATCTCATCAGTAATCGCAAACAGCCTCCAAATGGGTTGTGCCAACATACACTCCCAGCATCAGTGTTCATATGTGAGGTGTGTTCCTCACAACCTTGACAACCCTACATGTCCTGGAACTTCTCCATCTGTGTCAACCTGATTACATCAAAAAAGGCATCTCATTATTTTAGTTTTTATTTCTTCAATTATGACTGAGGTTAGGCATTTAATACACACCTATTTATATTTCCTTTTCTGTGAACTGCCGATTCATGTCCTTTGCCCATTTTTCTATCCTATCTTTTGTTCTTTTACTATTGGCTTGTGTTATGGGGGCTTGGGTTGGAAACTGCCCTCCTGGATACAGGAGAGCTGGGGGCAGACGTGTGCCTCAGAGATCCCTGGGCACTGACTCTGTTTTCTCCTTCCAGATTAAACAAGTCTGCTGATGTGACTTAAGTTCAAAATCCAGGCAGTCCTGGTGTTTATAAACATTTCCTTCAGAGGAAAAGTATAGATGGTTTAAGGTCTTCCAGATGGGTCTTACCGAGCCCCAGTATGAAAGACAGTGGTGTAGCCATGGTGTAGCTGGAATTGGCTGTTGTCTCATCTCTGGGGTGATTTTACTTGCATGAAGAGGATCAGCAGCCACAATGCAGGCCAGTAGGAAAACAAGGGCTAATGCAAAAGCCACACCACGATTTCGACCCACAACTGCTCTGAGGAAACACCTTGTTTCCATAAGTGTTTACAATCTTGACTAAATGAGAACCTGTATGTTTGTGTTCATGCACATTTGTGTGTGTGTGTGTGTGTGT